TCAAACATTGGCATGATATATGAAGCTAACAATGTTTCCCATGTTATATAATTCAAGGATAGACTACACTCCTAATGCAACCTTCAGATTATACAGCTTCAAAACTACCAGGGTTCAGGGATTCTCTGAAGACTCATATACCACATGACATGTAGATAATCTACAGATGTCTTCATACTTTAACATTGCCAATAGACAAACTTAGATGAATGTCACTATAGGAGTGTAGTGTACCCTTAAATGACAATAGGTGCACATGTAAAGGCAGCATACACATATAACAGTTAACCTTAAACCTTATAGGAACATTATTTGAAATAATAAACATCCTAAAAAGGTTATTTGAACATTAGATTAAAACGTTTCTTTAAAACATTATTAGAATCTGTAGGTAACGTTAGCCAAAGTTGTGAGAACGTTCCCCGCCAGCTGGATAATGGAGTCTTATTGCAGAGTTAAGAGCAGGCATGTACATAGAGTGGAATCATGTTCATAGCCATACGAATAAGATAGATGTTGACTATCAAGGTAACAGAGAAGTTGATGCACTTGCAGGTTGTACTTGAATTACACAGCAGTTTGGGCCATGTGGGCCTAGTTCGTATGAGAAAATATTGTCTCAACAATAAAATCCTCATACCAAAACTGAAAATGCACTTACAACACACACAGTCGACATGTCTTCAATGTGCTGAGGTAGACGGGTTCAAGAAGGTTCATCCGGAACATCTTAAGATAACAGAGGATGTGCCACTAATCAGTTTTAGTGCTGACATAGCAGGTCCTTTTCCGACCCGCACTCCCAGTGGGAATAAGTATTTCCTTTTGATTTGTGATAATGGAGAAAGTCATAAACATGTATATCCTCTGACCAGAGCAACATGGAATACAGTGTCTGTATCGTGTATGGGTGACAAGAAAGGGGCGAAGTCCAGAAAAAGGTGACCTTAAAGCTAAATTATAAGGTTTGGATGTAGTGTCCTCAATCACTGGAAACATAGTTTCACTCCGGAAAAGAGGGCCTGTTCACCAGCCAACTGAGTTTAGAATCCAGATAGGAATATGGCTGCAGCCTACCCAATCCACTAATGATGCTATCAGTCTCACATCACATGACATGTTTTGCGCACACACCGTGGCAGTTTACGTGCTTTCTTCCACAGGAGAGGAGGGCTTTTAGTGGGATCTTCCCGCAAGTATTTAGAATTTGTCTTGATAAATTGTGTACCGAGGGATATTTTATAGAGCAAAAGAGGGATTTTAAATCTTAGTAACAAGCAATATCTCAATTGCAAAGGATTTAGTCGTAGAACTGTTAGAATCCTTAGTGCATTATGCAAAGAAAGAAGCAAGACAAAACTGTGTATTAGCATAGGGTTCATTAGACCTTGAATGGGGAATACCTCAAAATCAAAGAGGAAATGGCAAAAACAACCTTTATATTATTTTATCATTGTTTTTATTTACATTATTATTTTTCTCTTCACATATTCTTAATTTGTATATGCCTGGGATCGCTTAAACAGATTTAGCGGGTCGTCTGAATTGAAACAGCAGTTAATTGAACCTGGTTCTTCAGGAGTTAGTAGAGGTGAAATCTTGCTGACGTTGGTGGATCTGAGCCAAGCAGTACACTTACAGGGACTCAATAGCTTCTGTTAGGTCAATTAGTAGGTCTGAGTAATTTGCCGGAATAAATTAACAGGCCTCTCAACTCTGACAACTCATATGATTTTGATGTTAAATAATATTGGACTGACTGCACTCCCTTGGGGAATACCATTTTCTATTTCTAAATAATTGGAAATATCTGCTCTAACCTTTACTCTAAATGTACTGTCTGTTAAAAAGGCCCTACCCAATTGTACATTCTCCCTCCAATACCCATTCTACTCAATTTGATCAGTAATCCCTCCCTCCACATAGAGTCGTACGCCTTTTCAATGTCCAAGTACACTATTGCCATTATCTCTTTCATTTTCAATGTTTTTCCCACATCATTAGTCACTCTTACTAATTCCACATCCAGAGCTGACCTATTATCCTGTCTCTTCTCCTTCACATTTTCATTCTCTGCTAGTAACTGCTGTTTGTGCTGCCTATGAATATCACTGAGATGCTCCCCACTATGTACTGCTGCAAGTGTCCTTCCTAACATATCTGCCTTCTCTTTATCCGTCACTGCCAGCCTCTCCCCATCAACCGAAGCTGGAATTTTAATGGATTTCCTTTTCCCACTCATCCGCTTAAAGATGGACCAGACATCACCTAATGTTACTCCTCTGCCAATGGTAGAACACAATTCTCTCCATGTTCTCTTTTGTGTATATTTGATTGTCCTTCGAGCAGCTGCCCTTTTCCTTTGATACTCTATAACATTAATAATAATAATAATGGGTTCAATTTATAAAACACTTCATATTTGATTTCAAATCCTGCAGTGCTACAAGTAATGAGCATGAACAGTATAAATAAACATTACACAACACGGTAGAATTAATAAAAAGCAATACAAAAATTAAAAATTAAATAAAAGGGTGATAAAAAGGTCTAGGCAAAGGCTCTTTTGAAGAGATGGGTTTTGAGGCCTTTTTTAAAAGCCTCCACGGTCTGTGGTGCTCTCATTTGGTCGGGGAGAGCATTCTACAGACTGGGAGCAGCCGAGCAGAAGGCCCGGTCTCCCATAGTACGGAGCTTAGTCCTGGGGGGTTTGAGGAAGTTGGAGTTGCTGGAGCGGGTGGTCCGCAAGGAGGTATGTGGGGTGAGGAGTTCCTTGAGGTAGGGAGGGGCAGTTCCATGGACACACAGGTGGGTGAGGACAGAGACCTTTAATTCGATCCTCAGTTCCACGGGTAGCGAGTGTAGTGCTTTAAGGATGGGGGTGATGTGATCATATTTGCGCACCCTCATCAGGATCCTAGCAGCGCTGTTCTGAATGTATTGGAGCTTCTGGATGGCATTATTTTGTGTCATGTTTTTCTTTAATTCTCTAAATGCATTATTTCGCTCTTTAATAGCCCTGCTGCATTCCTCATTCCACCATGGCACCACTTTCTTCCTACCCTTGGTTGTTGTTTTGGGTATACTGTTCTCTGCTGCATTTAGTATATGTTGCGTTATTTGGCTTGTAATGACCTCTATGCTTCCCTCTGATGTTAGCAGGTGTACCGACTCCTCACACCATATCCTACATTTCCCCCAATCAGCTTTAGCAAAGCACCACCTGGTTATTACACCTCCTTCCTTCCTTCCTGTTTATTGCCTGCTATTTCTTTAAATATATCAGTGGTTAGATTTGGACATGGGTTGTATAAATTGATTATCCTAATGTTATCTTGTTTTCTAGGGTTGCAGATTTCCACAATAATACAGTCTATATCATCAGGAGATTGCACCTCCCTATATGCCACACCATCTTTGAGAAATGGCTGCAGGATCTCAGGTATGCAAAGTGGACAGGTAGGCGAGAAAGGCTTTTTTGAGTCTCAGAGACCAAGGCCCTGTACACTTCACATACATTGACTGCACGACTTCAGGTCTGTGATGTGGACAGTACACCTACAATACATCACTACACAACCTGTGGTATTTGAAAATAAGGGAATGACATGTTTATAATATGCTGCAAAACACAACAAATATAAAGGGTTGCAAGTCTATTTCTAAGGCCACTTTATTTGTGGTAGTCTGATCATTTTAACAAGAGAATAGAATCAAACTGAAAACATCGTAAATATGTTCTAGATTCATGAAGCAGATTAATGAACAGTGAATCTCGCTCATGGTATACTTTAAGAAAAAGTTTTCCCACACTATTTGTAGGAGTCATTTTATGGGCGTTGTTGGTGTCTCAGTTTACCTTATATGTATAGGGCAACATTATTTTTGAACACTTGGTGGCGGGGTTTAGCTGCACCGGGTGTATAAAAGGGGTCATAGGTGACAGGAGAGGAAGAGGACACAAGGCAAGGCAAGGCAAGTTTATTTATATCGCACATTTAAACACAAGGCAATTCAAGGTGCTTTACAAAAATGAAAGACTTTCAGACAAAGGTATTTAAAAACAGTAAAAGAAACAATACATGAATAAAAAGTACATGAATAAAAAAGTTACAGTGCAGTTTAAGATGTGAATAGTTCACACAGAAGTTCCACTTTACTGACACAGGAGGAAGAGCATACCGATTCCACGAGACGGCCAGCTCAGACAGCCCCGGCAGATGCTCATACTACAACTATTAACACAGTGTACTTTAACCTTGGTATGTAAAGCAATAAAACATCATTCTAAAACTGCAGCAAAAGACCGGAACTTCATATGTTTGTGTCTGCGTCAGGATCACACTAAACCCTCCTGTGAAGTAATGGCAAAAAGATATAGGACACAGGAACATTTAAATTGCCATTACATTAAGTAGAATCGTACTCTGAGTGAAACTGAACAATATAAGAAACATATCACATTGGATTAAGGATCGTTTTCACCGGACAAATAATTGGATTACTTCACAACTGACACAGTCATCCCGGATCAGCTGGACAACAGGCCACAATCAGCTGGAGATGGTCACCACCTGCGCTCATCAAGACAGCGAAAGGAGACGCCGAGAACCAAGGCTGGGAAAGCGGCCGGGTATGTGCAGCACTAAAACTGGATTGTATATTGGATACATAAGCTGTATTGGACAATGGCTTGGATTTAATGCTGCAATAATGTCAGCTGTTTGAATCAGTGCCCTGTCAGCAGACGGACAGCCAGCAAATGAAACTTAAAGGAACAGTGAACATTATGCCTGTCAATTCTGATGTTACGTCAACAGATGGCGCTGTTGGGATGGGATCTGTAATGGAAAAAAGGATCACCCAACGCATGGCCAATAGATGGGAGTTGCTTATTGTAAACTGTGAAAAAACAAAATAAGCTTAAATCAGGGCCCTACACTCTTAAAACCACTACGGTTTTTCTCCTGTGTGAACACGAAGATGTGATTTGAGAGCACCTGATCTAGTGAACATTTTCCCACACTCTTCACACCAGTACGGTTTTTCTCCTGTGTGAACAAGAAGATGTGATTTGAGAGCACCTGATCTAGTGAACATTTTCCCACACTCTTCACACCAGTACGGTTTTTCTCCAGTGTGAATACGGTGATGTGATTCTAGAACACCTGATGTAGTGAAAGTTTTCCCACACTCTTCACAGCTGTAAGGTTTTTCTCCAGTATGAATACGGTGATGTGATTTGAGATTACATGATTGAGTGAAAGTTTTCCCACACTCTTCACAGCTGTAAGGTTTTTCTCCAGTGTGAATACGGTGATGTGATTTGAGAGCACCTGATCTAGAGAAAGTTGTCCCACACTCTTCACAGCTGTAAGGTTTTTCTCCAGTATGAATACGGTGATGTGATTTGAGAGAACCTGATTGAGTGAAAGTTTTCCCACACTCTTCACAGCTGTAAGGTTTTTCTCCAGTATGAATAAGGTGATGTGATTTGAGAGCACCTGATTGAGTGAAAGTTTTCCCACACTCTTCACAGTTGTAAGGTTTTTCTCCAGTATGAATAAGGTGATGTGATTTGAGAGCACCTGATGTAGTGAAAGTTGTCCCACACTCTTCACACCTGTAAGGTTTTTCTCCAGTATGACTACGGTGATGTGATTTGAGATGAGCTGATGTAGTGAAAGTTTTCCCACACTCTTCACAGCTGTAAGGTTTTTCTCCCATGTGAATACGTTGATGTAATTTGAGATGAGCTGATTGAGTGAAAGCTTTCCCACACTCTTCACAGCTGTAAGGTTTTTCTCCCATGTGAATACGTTGATGTGATTTGAGAGCACCTGATTGAGTGAAAGCTTTCCCACACTCTTCACAGCTGTACGGTTTTTCTCCTGTGTGAATACGCAGGTGGATCTTTAATTCTCCAGATGTTGAAAAATATTTGTCACATTGCTGACAGCTGTGACGTCTCTTTCTTCCTTTCAGTTTCTAGAACAGACAGACAGAGAAAGAGAGAAAGTCAATCTAAAAAGCATAAATACAGTTAACACAATAAAAACTCACTTAATATAAACCTTGAGTTAACAAAATACTACTTATCAACTGTTTGTGTTTATTATATTTTTATTATATTTGATACAGTAATACAGCAATATTCTAACCAAAGTATATACCAGAGGTGGGGGACTCGAGTCACGTGACTTGACTCGCATAGCATATTTTTTGACTTGAGACTTGCTTGACTAACATTGATAAAAGACTTGACTTGACTTTGACTTGGTATTCATGACATGAAACTTGACTTAGGCTTGAGACAGATGACTCGAAAGGACTTTACTTTTTAAAATAAAAATATTTGCATTTGTTTTTGTATTGTACGAAGCCCCTAGAGGGCAATGAAACAAAAAAAAAAGAGAGAATTTATCTCGTTCGCAGGAGAAAGTAGGAAGTGGAGCGCACAGGAGACAGCCGTTTCATTGCAGACTGTTATGTTTATGTGGGGAAATACATACATTATTTGAGATACATTTCAAACTCGGACTTCATTTTAGGGACATTTCGGCCAGGGGTGTAGAGTTATTTGTTCAAGCACCGGATCGGCAAAACAGGAGAGTCTGTGAACCAGTCTGCCTTGACCTATGTATTCATGTCTGTGACTCACAGTATCTGCTGCCCACAGCTGTTTTATAGAAGAAGAACCTCCTTCACTTCATGAAATCTCGGCAGCACCAGGAGGCAGTGTAACTCAGCAGAATCTGAGAAGAGCAGCACCAGCTACAAAGAGCTGTGCCTTCACTGTGTTTACCTTCATTAGAACAGCTAACCACACACACACACACACACACACACACACACACACACACACACACACACACACACACACACACACACACACACACACACACACACACACACACACCACACACACACACACACACACACACACACACACACACACACACACACACACACACACACACACACACAATTATTCCCCCTATTACCTGTTTTATGATTTCAGAGCCCCACTCTCCGTTGTTGTTAATGTTGAAAATAAAACTCTAGTTTTCATAACCACTGATTTAAATGCGGAAACTGGGGTTATTCATCAGGATTTCGTAGGACTTAACTTGCTTGACTCTCACCCCAGTAACTTGAGACTTGCACATGTACAGATGTAGCACCTCATTTCAGACAGTTTGAAACGCGAGGGCCGTGGCCGGCACGGGGTCTGCCCTCGCTCAAGGGAAAACCTCCAGCGTGACTTGAGACCGCCCCCTTGATAAATAAATGTAATTATAATGAAGCCAGCTGCAATGGATCATTGATCCACCAGGGGGTGCAGTGGGGTTCCACACTGGAGCTCATGTGAAATAAACTCTGATACAGTACGGTAGATTTATGTCTGGTTCTACTGTATAGCGGATCTTTGTTAAGATCCATATGTCACGGATAGGATCATACTCTGTGCTAAATAAGAGACATTTAATCATTTAGGCTACAAAACATCACCATGTTTTTATTTAACAAAATAATGTTGGTTAGTCCACAACTACTGTACAAAAAACATCAGGAAGCCCGCCGGCTCCAAAAACGAACGGGAGGAAATGCTCTCGATTTTTTATTCTAATTTAATCATCATCTTCACCACGATCATTTATGTTTATGTTCGCCGAATTTACATGAAAGCACTGACAACTATGAATATACTGTAGTCAACTTCATTAAAACTTTATTAACATGCCTAAACTCAGTAATTCACTAAAAATATTTATATTTTAATGGAGCCTCGTAAAATGAAGTCCGAGTTCGACATTTTAATTCATGTCCTGCCAACACTGGCAGGACAGAAGGCGACACGCCCGTTCTAAGCCGTGTCCCTCACTCCTCACATCCCAAGCTGCATCCCCAAAAAGTGTATTATGTTGTTACATCGTTTCAGATGTGATGTTTCAATTGTGCTCTTGATAAGCCATTAAAACAGTAAAAACACGTTCAGTTTCCTTTTGCTTTTTGTGTCTCCTGTACACCAAAACATACCCATCTGTGATGGGTACGTTTTGGTGTGCAGGAGACAGGAGTTTTACTGTATTCAGTAATCAGTAACTGATTACATTTACAAAGTAACCCTCCCAACCCTACACTACACATTTTTCTTGGATTTTTTAACACCATAGTCCCTAATATATTTGTAGAAAGGCAGGAAATTGAATTAAATCGGAAAAATGTTTAATTGTGTTTCGTGTCCCCCCCCCCACACACTTCTCAAACCAAAGTTACACCCTTGGATTTTAAACAAAGTCAAGACCTGTTTTTTAAATGAAATCTGACGGCAGGCAGGCAGCTCTGATCACCTAATGATAAATGTGCCACACCATCAATAAAGTAACATCTTATCTTATCTTAATAATATCTTCATATTAATAATAAATCATACAGTATGTGTCCGAAAGGGAGGAGGAGGAAGCAAACACCAAAAAAACATTACAAAAAATATACTGCATATTAAAGGTGGGGTAAGTAAGTTTGAGAAACCGGCTCGAGATACACTTTTTGTTATATTCCATGGAATGCTCTTAACATCCCGATAGCAATGAATATCTTTAGTGCTTTGACAAAAAAATCCATAAAAAAATGTCATCTGTGGAAGCCGTGGTAATGTAAAAAGCACGACCAATCATCTGAGCCGGCCCGGCTAAAGTAACTGGATGGCCTACTTGCCTGTCAGCCTTCCATCTGTGTGTGTTGGAGGAGGGGCTCTGTAAGGAAGTGGCAGATTTTTTCTGGCTGTGTATTTTCAAATTCCAGCGCACTCTAGCTGGTTTCTCCAAAATTACCTACCACACCTTTAAAGCAAACTATTGTAAGGGTAAAAGTATGAGCATAACAAATAAAGTGTAAACATTATAATTATGATTATTTAATATATAGACTATATATTATTGAATTACAAGATTAGATATACTTTATTTGATCTAAAATATTGATGTGTTTTCGTTATACTGTAGTAGCCTGTGAAAACCATAACAAATGTGTTCAAATGCTCTTCACCAAAACACAACTGAAGTACTGAAAGTCCATGAAATGTGTCTTTCTGTATTTGTGAATGAAGCGCCATCTAATGGTTAAATCCTGAAATTGAAAATCTGGCAACGCCCTCTTGGAAAATAGTGGGAGTGCTTAACATTCCCAGCCGCTAGGATCCGTTGGGTCTTTGGCAGGAAGCTGTTGGCTGGAGTCTGTTCTAGAGTGCTACATCTGTATGACTTACTCCCACCTCTGGTATACAGGAGACAGAGGGAGACGGCATCCTGTCACTAGGAGTCTCAATATGCTCCGTTCGTCTTGTGTTTTGTTTTTTTGGTCTAATTATTGTCTAAACTAGGGATGCTCCGCTCGCCAATTTCGGGGCCGATCGCCGGAATCAGTATCGGCCGATCTGATCGCCGATCTGATCGAGTGGGCGAGGCCTAAATGGAAGATTTAAACATCACTTTAAATCTTCCATTTAAAGTGATGTTTAAACTCAGTTAATGGGGCTCATTCACTGGAGCTTCCACAAACAACAATCAACTTAATTATTACATTCAAATGATGTACATTATTCAAGTTTACATTCACTTTGGATAATAACACGGGAGAAATGAGCGGAAGCGCTCTCTTTTCCACTCTCCCTCTCTCCTGACAGCCTGTCAGTATCTCATGCAGCTCACTGATCCAGTAATGAGTTACCCGACAGTGAAGAATAAATATATTTATAATAACTAGTTTAGCTTGTTCCAGAGGTAGATAAAATAGCTAAGTGTGTTAGGTCTAACTCTTGTGTGTTTCGTTCCGCTTACCGGTCCGGCGGGTGGAGCTGCAGGATTTCTGCTTCACACACACGTTGCATACCGCTATTTTACTGTCTTTTTCGGACACCTTAAAATAATGCCAGACCGGTGAAGCCATTTTGGCGAGCTTGTTTTGCTGCACACAGAGAAAAGTGTATTTTATGTCATGCGATCGGCTCTCGCGATCGGCATGTTTAGAGAGTACTGATCGATCGGTAGAGAGTAATTATCGGCCGATCTCGATCGGTGACCGATCGATCGGAGCATCCCTAGTCTAAACCTTGTTGTGTCTGTATGAAACGTCATTTTGAGAGACCATGCTTTTAAACCTGTGGATTACATTTGCCTTCTGCAGACCATGTCTGGCCATACAACTCAACTTTCCAAGACACACCTGAGTTACAGAACGAACAGGTGTGGCGAGGAGCCCCGGCCTCTACGCTGGTACAGCCACGAAGCTATGCTAGAGCTACAATGCGATCGGCCTCCTACCAATACACCAAGCCATCTGTGCTCTTCGTTATTGGATGACATCCCTCGGGAGCCGCGTAGAAACACCAGGAAAAAGAGACGAGGAAGGAGGGGAGGTGTTCAGAATCGCCTACGGCGGAGATTCAGCCGGCCACCACTTCCATCCATCAAACTCTTCATGAGTCAGCAATCACTAGGGGGATCCAAGATGGCGCCTGTGTCGGCATGCCGCTCCCTCAGCGCTCTGCCTTTAGCAATCCTGCTTTTGTTCTATGTATGTCAAAATGTCTCTGCTCTGCTCGTCTATGATCGCAAAGCTCTCCTCCACCTCAGACCCTCACTGGAGTTTATACTGCTGCCCAAACCTACATCTGCCAACCGTAAATCGCCTCCCCCGTCTACTGTCGGATATTCCCACCTACCTGCGCCGGTTGCCCTGCATCCTGCCTCACCGAAAGCGTTTTAGACGACGGGAAAAGCGTGGTGGTTCGCTTGTCCATCAAAAAGCATACCTGGCGGCTTCTTCTGGGACTCATCCACGCATCAGATGTCATGGCCCTCCCGCTGCACGCCATCTGACGGTACGTCCACACAGCGGCTTTGGAAAAAGCTTGCCGGCAAGGTTTGATTGGCTAGAGCTTGTACTGGCAAATGATTTGATTGGCTGACGCTTCCACCAAAAGC